GTCTATATTAGTATTCTTTATCATTTATAATACCTAGATATGTTTTGAAATGCAATTTAAAGCATTTTTGGTTTCGATCATAGTAGGCCATTTTCAAAAAATATTGATTTTATGTCTATATTAGTATTCTTTATCATTTATAATACCTAGATAGGTTTTGAAATGCAATTTAAAGCATTTATGGTTTTGATCATAGTAGGCTTTTTCAAAAAATATCGATAATATGTCTATATTAGTATTCTTTATCATTTATAATACCTAGATATGTTTTGAAATGCAATTTAAAGCATTTTTGGTTTCGATCATAGTAGGCTATTTTCAAAAAATATCGATTTTATGTCTATATTAGCATTTTTTATCATTTATAACACCTAGATAGGTTTTGAAATGCAATTTAAAGCATTTATGGTTTCGATCATAGTAGGCTTTTTTCAAAAAATATTGATTTTATGTCTATATTAGCATTCTTTATCATTTATAATACCTAGATATGTTTTGAAATGCAATTTAAAGCATTTTTGGTTTCGATCATAGTAGGCTATTTTCAAAAAATATCGATTTTATGTCTATATTAGTATTCTTTATCATTTATAATACCTAGATATGTTTTGAAATGCAATTTAAAGCATTTTTGGTTTCGATCATAGTAGGCCATTTTCAAAAAATATTGATTTTATGTCTATATTAGCATTTTTTATCATTTATAACACCTAGATAGGTTTTGAAATGCAATTTAAAGCATTTATGGTTTTGATCATAGTAGGCTTTTTTCAAAAAATATCGATAATATGTCTATATTAGTATTCTTTATCATTTATAATACCTAGATATGTTTTGAAATGCAATTTAGAGCATTTATGGTTTTGATCATAGTAGGCTTTTTCAAAAAATATCGATAATATGTCTATATTAGTATTCTTTATCATTTATAATACCTAGATATGTTTTGAAATGCAATTTAAAGCATTTTTGGTTTCGATCATAGTAGGCTATTTTCAAAAAAATATTGATTTTATGTCTATATTAGCATTCTTTATCATTTATAATACCTAGATATGTTTTGAAATGCAATTTAAAGCATTTTTGGTTTCGATCATAGAAAGCTATTTTCAAAAAATATTGATTTTATGTTTATATTAGCATTCTTTATCATTTATAATACCTAGATATGTTTTGAAATGCAATTTAAAGCATTTTTGGTTTCGATCATAGTAGGCTATTTTCAAAAAATATTGATTTTATGTCTATATTAGTATTCTTTATCATTTATAATACCTAGATATGTTTTGAAATGCAATTTAAAGCATTTTTGGTTACGATCATAGTAGGCTATTTTCAAAAAATATCGATTTTATGTCTATATTAGTATTCTTTATCATTTATAATACCTAGATATGTTTTGAAATGCAATTTAAAGCATTTTTGGTTACGATCGTAGTAGGCTCTTTTCAAAAAATATTGATTTTATGTCTATATTAGTATTCTTTATCATTAAAATTCCTAGATATGTTTTGAAATACAATTTAAAGCATTTTTGGTTACGATCATAGTAGGCTATTTTCAAAAAATATCGATTTTATGTCTATATTAGTATTCTTTATCATTAAAATTCCTAGATATGTTTTGAAATACAATTTAAAGCATTTTTGGTTACGATCATAGTAGGCTATTTTCAAAAAATATCGATTTTATGTCTATATTAGTATTCTTTATCATTTATAATACCTAGATATGTTTTGAAATGCAATTTAAAGCATTTTTGGTTACGATCGTAGTAGGCTCTTTTCAAAAAATATTGATTTTATGTCTATATTAGCATTTTTTATCATTTATAATACCTAGATATGTTTTGAAATACAATTTAAAGCATTTTTGGTTACGATCATAGTAGGCTATTTTCAAAAAATATCGATTTTATGTCTATATTAGTATTCTTTATCATTAAAATTCCTAGATATGTTTTGAAATACAATTTAAAGCATTTTTGGTTACGATCATAGTAGGCTATTTTCAAAAAATATTGATTTTATGTCTATATTAGCATTCTTTATCATTTATAATACCTAGATATGTTTTGAAATACAATTTAAAGCATTTTTGGTTACGATCATAGTAGGCTATTTTCAAAAAATATCGATTTTATGTCTATATTAGTATTCTTTATCATTAAAATTCCTAGATATGTTTTGAAATGCAATTTAAAGCATTTTTGGTTTCGATCATAGTAGGCTATTTTCAAAAAATATCGATTTTATGTCTATATTAGTATTCTTTATCATTTATAATACCTAGATATGTTTTGAAATGCAATTTAAAGCATTTTTGGTTTCGATCATAGTAGGCTATTTTCAAAAAATATCGATTTTATGTCTATATTAGTATTCTTTATCATTTATAATACCTAGATATGTTTTGAAATGCAATTTAAAGCATTTTTGGTTTCGATCATAGTAGGCTATTTTCAAAAAATATCGATTTTATGTCTATATTAGTATTCTTTATCATTTATAATACCTAGATATGTTTTGAAATGCAATTTAAAGCATTTTTGGTTTCGATCATAGTAGGCTATTTTCAAAAAATATCGATTTTATGTCTATATTAGTATTCTTTATCATTTATAATACCTAGATATGTTTTGAAATGCAATTTAAAGCATTTTTGGTTTCGATCATAGTAGGCTATTTTCAAAAAATATCGATTTTATGTCTATATTAGCATTTTTTATCATTTATAACACCTAGATAGGTTTTGAAATGCAATTTAAAGCATTTATGGTTTCGATCATAGTAGGCTTTTTTCAAAAAATATCGATTTTATGTCTATATTAGCATTCTTTATCATTTATAATACCTAGATATGTTTTGAAATGCAATTTAAAGCATTTTTGGTTTCGATCATAGTAGGCTATTTTCAAAAAATATCGATTTTATGTCTATATTAGTATTCTTTATCATTTATAATACCTAGATATGTTTTGAAATGCAATTTAAAGCATTTTTGGTTTCGATCATAGTAGGCCATTTTCAAAAAATATTGATTTTATGTCTATATTAGCATTTTTTATCATTTATAACACCTAGATAGGTTTTGAAATGCAATTTAAAGCATTTATGGTTTTGATCATAGTAGGCTTTTTTCAAAAAATATCGATAATATGTCTATATTAGTATTCTTTATCATTTATAATACCTAGATATGTTTTGAAATGCAATTTAAAGCATTTATGGTTTTGATCATAGTAGGCTTTTTCAAAAAATATCGATAATATGTCTATATTAGTATTCTTTATCATTTATAATACCTAGATATGTTTTGAAATGCAATTTAAAGCATTTTTGGTTTCGATCATAGTAGGCTATTTTCAAAAAAATATTGATTTTATGTCTATATTAGCATTCTTTATCATTTATAATACCTAGATATGTTTTGAAATGCAATTTAAAGCATTTTTGGTTTCGATCATAGAAAGCTATTTTCAAAAAATATTGATTTTATGTCTATATTAGCATTCTTTATCATTTATAATACCTAGATATGTTTTGAAATGCAATTTAAAGCATTTATGGTTTCGATCATAGTAGGCTATTTTCAAAAAATATTGATTTTATGTCTATATTAGTATTCTTTATCATTTATAATACCTAGATATGTTTTGAAATGCAATTTAAAGCATTTTTGGTTTCGATCATAGTAGGCCATTTTCAAAAAATATTGATTTTATGTCTATATTAGTATTCTTTATCATTTATAATACCTAGATAGGTTTTGAAATGCAATTTAAAGCATTTATGGTTTTGATCATAGTAGGCTTTTTCAAAAAATATCGATAATATGTCTATATTAGTATTCTTTATCATTTATAATACCTAGATATGTTTTGAAATGCAATTTAAAGCATTTATGGTTTTGATCATAGTAGGCTTTTTCAAAAAATATCGATAATATGTCTATATTAGTATTCTTTATCATTTATAATACCTAGATATGTTTTGAAATGCAATTTAAAGCATTTTTGGTTTCGATCATAGTAGGCTATTTTCAAAAAAATATTGATTTTATGTCTATATTAGCATTCTTTATCATTTATAATACCTAGATATGTTTTGAAATGCAATTTAAAGCATTTTTGGTTTCGATCATAGTAGGCCATTTTCAAAAAATATTGATTTTATGTCTATATTAGTATTCTTTATCATTTATAATACCTAGATAGGTTTTGAAATGCAATTTAAAGCATTTATGGTTTTGATCATAGTAGGCTTTTTCAAAAAATATCGATAATATGTCTATATTAGTATTCTTTATCATTTATAATACCTAGATATGTTTTGAAATGCAATTTAAAGCATTTTTGGTTTCGATCATAGTAGGCTATTTTCAAAAAAATATTGATTTTATGTCTATATTAGTATTCTTTATCATTTATAATACCTAGATATGTTTTGAAATGCAATTTGAAGCATTTTTGGTTTCGATGATAGCCATTCTCAGTAAATATAGTGGACTTTATTTGGATCTTGACGTCATGTCCCTTGTTACATTAGCTGATTTAAATTATGAGAACTTTTCATGCAAGAAAAGTCATGAAGTTATACATAAAGTAGGTTTGAACTTTATAAATTAGCTTGATAAATTACTTTTCGTTATCGATTCTAGGAAATTGAGTACTTCATACAATTCAATTGGAATTTCAGGTATGTAATGCTATGTAAGAGTATGTGAAGGTATTAATTCCAAAATCTATTTTCAGACAATAAATGAAACTTTTCAGAGTCTATCAAAGAATTCTGCAATGGAACTAATTTAAAAACGATCGAATCAGAAAAAGCCGCTTGTGACTAAAAACCGATAAAATTTCACCAACTGACAGGTAGAACAACCTGTAAATTACTTAACAGATAAAGATATCGTAATCGCAAAATTTGGCTAGTATTGGTCGAGATAAAGAAACAGAAACAAACTGCTTGATTAATAAACTTATTGGTAAATGTTGAAAATATTTCAGTTTAATATTTAAGGTCGTTGGAATCGGATTAGTTCAATAATGGGAAATATTAAATTTGGAGTTCTTTTGTTTTTAAGTGCTTGTAGTTTTATCAATGCGGAGACTTTTACTTTTCCAAATTCTTTTATTTTTGGAGCTGCAACAGGTAATTTGTGGAAAAATTAATAGCCCGACATTTGAAAATCTCATCCACAAACCACAGCTAGCTACCAAATCGAGGGAGCATGGAATGTAGATGGAAAGCTTCCAAGCATTTGGGACACAGCAACTCATCGTCAACCAAGTAATGATGTATTTGATGGACTAACAGGAGATGAAGCAGCACTTTCGTACTATTATTGGCAAAAAGACATTGAGGCTTTAAAGAATGCTAACGTAAGATGCTCAACAAGGCGTGGACACTGAAAAATTATTGAAATTATTTAAGCCTGATTTCAGTGTCTACGCCTTAATTATCAAAAATATTTATGATGCAATATACTTAACGACACTTTCTTTATCAACACTTGAACACAGCTCACGATGTATCGCTTTTCGATCGCGTGGACAAGAGTATTAACAAAAAATCAACAAGTTAATCAAAAAGGAATCGATTATTACAATACTCTGATTAATGATTTAATTGCTGAAGGAATCACCCCCATGGTAACTCTGTGAGTAATATTAAAAAAAATATTTTGTTTGAAACTTAGTAATTTGAGTTAAAATCATAGCTACCACTGGGATTTGCCACAGTATCTTCAAGACATTGGAGGTTGGATGAACTCTGAAATCGTCAAATATTATGAAGTTTATGCTGATTTGGTTTTCAAGAGCTTTGGTGACAGGTGAGAGACTTGAAATATTGTATTTTAGAGATTTACTCTTAACCCGCAAGCAACTTGAGCCTAGCAATGAATCGTTTAAATGCCTTTACCGGTCTCAAGCTAGTGCCTTATCTCCTTTTGTATCATTCAGGTTAACTTATATTCATTACTTCTTTTTCCTGTAGTAACAGTTAATATAAGCTTCAGGCGCGTAGCCAGGGGAGGGATTTGGGGGACAAATCCCCCTTCGTCTTGAAAAGTTTCGTTATTTTGCTAGAATTTCATGAAATACTCCGAAATACACCCCCCCCCCCCCCACCTTAAAGTTTTCCATACAAAAAAAATTTTGTCCCCCCCGTCCTCTTCAAATCCCTGGCTACGCCCCTGATATGCTTGCTTAAAACTAATATTTTTACTATCCGGATGTAGGAGTTCTTAATTAATATTTTGGCCCATTATCTTTATTAAATTATCATCTCTAGAGTCAAAATCTTCATCACATTCAATGAACCAAGTGTCTTCTGTGATCACGGCCACAACTATGCAGAACATGCACCACATATTTGGACCTATGATAGTGTTGGTGGAATTTTATGCTCCCATCATGTCTTGTTATCACATGCTCGTGCTTATAGATTATATCAAGAAAAATATCTTGCAGCTCAAAACGGAAAAGTTGGAATCTGCTTGAATACTGGCTTTAGTTATCGTGGAAATGGAAGTGTTCCACAGGATACTGTTGAAAGAGCTATTCAATTTTATGTAATTTATAATTAATCCTTTAATGTTTCAAACTTATTAATATTGAGTAATATCGATTCTGTACAGTTTGGTCGATACACAAATCCAATCTTCTCTGAAACTGGCGACTATCCACAAGTCATGCGAGATGCAATCGATCAAAAGAGCAAGCAACAAGGACGATCATTTTCAAGGCTTCCAACATTCACTGCTGAAGAAGTTCAAATGCTTAAAGGATCTGCTGATTTCTTAGCACTCAATTATTATTCCAGCGGTATGGTTTACCCAATCAGCTTTGATCCTACAATTGATCCAGTTCATCATGACAGCGAAGTTGCTGGATTTTCTGATCCAGATTGGAAGGTCGCTAGAAGTAGTTGGCTTTATCAAGTTCCTCAGGGACTTTATGATCTCTTGAATTGGATTAGGACAAAGTATAACAACCCTGATGTTTATATTTCTGAGAATGGATGGTCTGATGCACCATTAACTATTGAAGACCACGATAGAATTGAATACATGAGATTGCATTTGGCTGCTATTTCCAAGGCCATTACTGATGGATGTAATGTTTTGGGAATTACTGTTTGGAGTTTGGTTGATAATTTTGGTGAGTTTTTTTAATTTACAACAAGGATAGTCCATAAAGAATGTCTATTTCACAGAATGGATGAGAGGCTATGATGAAAGATTCGGAATCTATGCAATCGACTTAAACGATCCAGACAGAAATAGAACCCCGAAAAAATCTGTATCATACTTGAGAAATGTTACAAACTCTAGAACAGTCGAGGCTGAAAATGATGAAATATTCGTTGTGAAAGTTTATCCAATGCCAGCTGAATAATTTTTATAAAATCTTAAATTTCATTTATTTTTGATCGAAAAATAAATTCATAGAGTCAATACATATGAGCACGTGGTGTATTTTAATCATTTATAAACATGCAATTAAACACTTGAGTGATAAAATTTTAACGACGGCAATTATCTTTCGATTGGAGTCAAAAATTTAACAATACAATCAGAAACTTGAGTAACTTTACTTACTAGGTGTGTGCTTATCTACTTGATATTACTCTAGCTGGTTATTTAAAATTGAAATTCATGTAATTTTATGTTTCGAAGAATAGATAAGATTGGATCCAAATTCATTTAGTTCTAGATCTAGCTTGATGTTCATTATCTAATCATGAGCAGCTTTAGATCATTGTTTATTAGGGAATCGACATTGAATGCTGTATTATTTGAAGATCAGAGTGATAAACAGATTAAACCTCATTGATAATTGAATAGTGTCCGACTTTTCCCCCTTAATCATCAAAAAGTGTCCGACTTTTGCTCCTTAATCATCGAAAAGTGTCCGACTTTTGCTCCTTAATCATCGAAAAGTGTCCGACTTTTGCTCCTTAATCATCGAAAAGTGTCCGACTTTTGCTCCTTAATCATCGAAAAGTGTCCGACTTTTCCTCCTTAATCTTCCAACGTAAGTCACACCTGAACCTTATAAATTGAGGAATAATCAACATCATAAGTATTTCCCTAGTCTTTTAAATGTCTACTGTTGATCCAATATTTCAAGATCTCTTAAAGCACATCAAATCAAACATTCAAACCCGAATAGCACAAGTCGGATAATCAAGACGAAATCTTGTTCAAGGCAGCTTTGGGACAACGTTAACCGACTTGTACTATTCGGGAAATCATCACAAAAATTCGAAAAAAGAAAATAAAACTTTATTATGCTAAATTCTAATAAATTCAAGTTATAAATCTACATAAAATAAACATTATAATTTACAAACATAACACAATTCCCGAATAGTATCGAAATCACATAACTTTATTGCCAATTAGATAAAATTAAAGATGTTAATTGAAAATTTTATTCGTGCTTTGGGTGCTTCACGTGCTCTACAACTTCTTTAAGATGTTCATAACGTTTCTCAATAGCGACTTTAACCTTCTCCTTTGTTTCTTCGTCAATTGGATGAGCCTGAAAATTGAGAAAGTGAAAGATATGAAGGAACGAGTTTGAACTTGAGTTTTAGACAGTCAAGTCAGTCATTTATGACGTTCAATTAGGGACGTTGATTTTAAACTCATAATATGAACATCCTACCAAAAATAAGTGACTAATCCCAATAGCACAATTCAATTAATCAAATATAAATTAGGTAATAAGCTAGTCTGGCGTAACTCTGGTAATGTGCTAGATTCGATTTGAGTTCAGCACCATGCCAGAGTCATGTCAGCTTGGTGCTGAATTTCTATTCGATTAACAGAATCTCGTGCTTTTCGGGTAAGACTCTGTATCAACAACTCGATTAAGACATTATCATGGGCTTCATATTATGTAATTGATCCCAATGTTCATGACCAGATTGACTCAAAAAATCAACAATCGACCAAAAATAAATCCACATACCTTCACATAAGCCAAAAACGTAGTCCAAATAAGTGACGCAAATGATACATAAATTACTTGATTTTTGGGCTTCACAAAACCAAAATTGATGGTCTGCGTGATTGGCCAATAAACGAGTCCAATTGCGTATATACTGAGGAATTTCGAGGAAACCTTAAAAAGATAATTTCATGTTCACAATTTGTTGTTTTGGAATTAAAATTAAATTAATTTACTTCTCGTCTAGCTTGCTCGTGTGTTTTACCCTCAAAAATAGTCATCGCGTACAGGAACAACGATATAGAAAATGGATCAAATGCAACTTGCTCTATTAATTAAAATGAGAATTAATCAAATTTATGTCTGCGACTGAAATTTAATCTAATTAAGTACCTGTGAATGCTTTTGCTAAGGCTGATCGGATATCAGAACGAGGCCACCTGTAAGTGACAATAATTATAGATTATAGTGCTTCATAGATTATCATTTGACATACATTTTATTAGCTACACGCATCCAGCAATATAGAGCAGGTCCTTGTATCAATGTTCCATATAGACAGAATCTAAAATAAAATAATTAAAATCAATTAATTTATTGTTTCATGTTAAAGAAAATTACTGTTCAATTAAACTGTAAATTAAGGCATTAATCATGCGATAGTCTGTGTTCAATAACTCATAAAAAGAAGGGATGAAGATGAAGCAATTTCCACAAAAGCATTTGATTACAGCTGAGTCATTGAAAAATATTTCGAACCCCTCGCAGCGCGAAATAAAAAAATCTCTCATGTGTATTGAACATAAAGTCTCGAAAAGTCATTAATATTCAATTGAAATATTCTTATCATCGTTACCACAATCAGAAGTCATAAAAATGCCGCACGATGAACATGAAAAGGAAAGAAAATAAAAAAAAAAACAGGAACATTTTCTTCCCTTTTGGGAGGGAAACGCGTTAGCATGTTTTGTTGCAAAGGGGTTGTGACGTGAATAATAAACTTTGGTGCTGTGTGTTCATGGATATGAAAGTAGGATGATTTATAAAATCAAAACTAATGAGAGCGATAGAAACCAAATATCAGGAAAAAGGATGAACCAGAGCATAAGAAATCGACTAGCTTGAGTCTAATAAACTCGACTTGAACTTTATTCTGATACTTAGGAAACTTGATATAGAATAAAGAGCAGCTTGATAGAGCAGAAAAAAGGAAATTTCTCAACAACTTGTCTCGAGTGGGAATCGAACCCGCGTACTGACAATTGACAGTCGCATACTCGTACCACTGAGCTATCGGGGGTTATTAAAAATCTTGGCAGAATGACAACTTAAACCATTTTCTGCTCTACACAGTATCTTGGGTATTATCGTTGATACCCGGAAAGCACAAAACTGTTAATCGATCAGAAATCCGATGAGAAGTCGAATTTTTTATCGATTAACCGACTTGTGTTATCCGGTCTTGTGTTAAATAAAGACAAAGGGTCAGACACTCCAAAAGAATTGTAAGAACTCTACAATCTTTCCATGTAAGGTTTATAAGGATTGTACAATCCTTTCATATGAATTGTGAAGAATTTTACAATCCTTACAATTTCTTTTGGAGTGTCTGACCCTTGGTTTTTATTTAACTTCCTGCAAAAGCTAGTCGACATCAACCTCATTTAAGTTTTAACTCAAAAAACATCAAAAATCAAACTTATGATTTCCAAAATAAACTAAAATCAAATTTGCGCCTTAAACATTCAACCCTCACTACAAGCTCAAACTTCCATCCACTAATTTTCCATATTATTGCTATTTTTCTTTTATGACACATAGCAAGAAAAAGAACAGAACAGCTAGCAACGATGAAAGCAAATAATCAATCATGAGGAACGAAAAAAAACATGCTCGAAGGAAGAGAGAATAAAAAAAAATTTACAGTAAACACACAATCATCATCAAAGTCATGTTTGGCACCCCCTTATTTTTTCTACACCGACTGCAACATTTTAGATTAGTCAAATTAGATTAAATCCTCGTTCTGTAGCTAAACATTTTGAAAATTTCATATTTAATCCCCTAAACTTATTTTTTTCCATAGAAAAAGAGTATGCGACCGTTAAAGCGACAACATCAGATGAGGGTGTGAGATGCGAGTAGCAAAAAGGAATGGAATTTTTATTCCAAATGTGAACGACATGTAATTGAATAATAAAGGGAGAAGAAATAAAAAAGGGGAAGACGAAATATTAAGGCTTAAAAATTATTTTGTACGTACGTAAGTCTTTAACATTAATAATATTGAAGGGTGTAATAAAATACAGCACAACAAAGGGAGTATGTCGCAACAAATCGCTTTTTATACATTGTAATTAGAAAGGCAAATAGGAAAACCCGCATATGACACGCCACTTCACTTCATACACATCGCCTAAAGCTCAATTAATGTTTTTTTCATATTTTCTCTCGTGTTTTTCTTTAACACGCTCGATTTCATTCTATCCTCGTACATCTAATAAGCATCAATCAACTTTTTTTTGACTGTTCTAGCATTTACCCTTGATGGAAATTTTAAACTGAATTTTTCAAGAAGGGTTTGCTGTGGAAATTTTAAATAAGGAATCTAGATGAATTTAGTTGATTTTATGAGGACGAGTGAAGCTCAAATGAATCTTTACATAGCTTAGAATTATTAAATTAAATTGATTTTTGAGACTAATCTCTGAAATTATTAGATAATCCTGAGCATTGTGAATCCTTGTCATAGCCAATAACTCTCTCTATTTGTACCGATCTCTCAGATGGGAATCGAACCCATGTCCACACAAAAAGGGATTGTATTAATCTGGTCTGTTGCATAACTACTCGCGTCACTGAGCCCTTACTCTTACACTTGCAGAATAACCTACATATGACTTAATACTCGAGATTTCATTCCACTCAGGCACCACAACCTACTTTAAGATCCTCAATGTAGACTTTTTTGGTAAATTCATAGAAAAAACTGTAAAATGAACTAGGTCTGGTTTCAAAAACTTTACTGCCCGGTTTCTAGGTCTACCCGGAATACCCTTAATAATAATAATAATGTGTGAAGGGCGCATCCTTTCAGCTAGAGGCACTGCGATTGAATAACACTGTGGAGTATCCTTAGTCAGAAATGAAATTCCATGTCCAACAATATGGGATAAAAATAAAATTAATCTGAATCTGTTGTATAGTACCCCGGGTAGTTCAAGAAACTGGGCCCAGAAAAGTGAGTATAACCAGTAAGAAACAGTCCAAAACATACAGAAGTCTACAGCTACAAAAATTAATATCTCCAAAATTTGCATCAATAACATTTAATCCATCAATCCCCCCAACAAAATAATAAATTCAATTCAATTTCTCCACAAGGACACAACAGTCATTGATCATATTTTGTCGCTATAAATTTCCATCTATAATACTTCAGCAGCTTTAGCAAAGATAAATGTTTTACGAGTACAAAAAAAATAAAGCATTTTCCAAAAATACACGAAACAAATTTTTTCATTTCCTTCCTTCTTCTTTTCTCGTTTGCGTCTTAAAAGTCGTTGAAGTATAAATGATGATTAATTTTGTCATATTTTGCTGCTGTTTTGTGTCTTTTGAATGTCAAATAAATTTATATCGTTACGTGTATGGTAAATATGAGAATGTGCATGGATGTAATGGAAAGCATGTGCTAAGTTGACATGAGAATATATTTGCTTGGCTCAGCAAAAAAAAGTAAGGAAGTTAATTTGAATTGCATTGAATTTCTAAGGTTTGAGTTGCTGTTTGAGGTCGTGGACTTATGTTGTCTATGAGTAGGGAAGTCTAGACATAGAAAACCAACGCCAAGCCACTAGGTCAAGAGCCATGTGAAAGGGGCAGTAGATAGTCAAGCTGCTTGAAGCTCTTTTCAAAAGATGTAAGTTCGATTCCTACTAGAAGCCGATCTCTTAATCCTAAAGTCGATAATGCTCACGACATTAAAAGGGTTGGAGATTTAATGAAGATGCCAAATAATCGGACTTAGTTCTTCATATTCTCAATTAAACCTAGTGAAACTAAGTTCCAACTTACTATACTAAAGAAAATCTGACAAAAATTCATAAAAATGCATTATAAAGTCGACATGCAAATATAGCATAAAATCACGCATCCGTTATCCACAAAAATTCTCTTCCTCACAAAAAAAACAAGTACAAAGCCACCCCAAAACTTAAAAAAAACTCGACAACCAGAACACCGGGGAAAGAAAGCAGCAGAAGATAAAGTTCTTCTTGCATGCAACGACAAAATAAATTTTGTGCTATTTTTCTATGCTGTATTATATACCAAATGTGATAAGATATACAATTTTTTTTCCTTCTTGCTCTATCATACCGTACTTTTTACTCAGCATTATAGAACAAGAAAGACATAAAATGCATAAAAAATAAGAAAGAGCATGTTCCGAAAGGGAAAAATCAAATTAAGAATGAAAGCAGCAAAAAATTTTCTTCCATTCAAGAGCAAGACGAACTCGTTCATGAGCTCATGCATTTTTATGGAAGTAGTTCTCATGAAATATTCTACATTTTCTGCATAAATGAAAAGTCAAGAGGAGTTTTTTGCATTCGAGTTGAAATAAAAAAATATGAAAAATTGCAAAATATATTTTTTTTGTGCATTTATGCAAAAGTTTCATGATGTGAGCATGCCGTAAATATTTTTATTTGTTGGAACAAGGGAGTAAGGGGTGTAGTAAGGCTGGAGACACTTAAAAAAGACGTTCTTTATTTAAGGATTTAATCAAAATTTTTCAATTTTTTGGAGAGGCATACAATTCAGGTGTGGTGCCTTTTACATGTCCCAGATACACTCCCAAAAAATTTATATTCCCGAAAAAAAATTTAAATTAAAAAGCTAGTTAAAGTTGAGCATTTGAAATCTTTTCATGCAAAAGAATTGAAGTTTTAGAACATTTCAAAGCGATTAGTTTTTTTCCAATTTTAGTAAATTTCCAGCTCGTTTAGCTTCCGAAAAAAACTATTGATGCTTTAGATCCCCATCACTGCAAAAATCAGTTCAATTATCCCAATCAAAACTCATTCAATCCTTTCCATAAAAACTCATAAAATTCAAATAAATTGAAATATTTCCCTTCCATATCAATTATTTGAATTAAAGTCCTCAACATCCATTAGATATGAAATATTCCGAGGAAGTAAAATGAAAATTGAATCAATTTTGCATCACCTGAACGATAAAAAATTCTTTCTCATTCATTCATGACACAAACTGGGAATGAAAACTTCTGCATCTAATCTTACGAACGATAAAAACGATTTAAAGTACTTAAAGAGACATCACTTTATGCCAGAATGACAGAAAATTTCCTTCTTTGGAACAAGAAAAAAAAGGTAAAAGAAACTTGCAAAATCTTTTAAACTTTTGTGACTAAATGGATGGAATTTATCACAGACTGTGAAAAAGAAGAAGCTAAGAAGGAAGAAGAACCGGAAAAAATATTTTATGCATTGCATAAATTCATAAGCGATTTTGCAAGCTGATGCTGTCTTGATTTTATTTTTGAGAGAATTGTTTGTAGGGAAATTGAAGCTACTAGCTTTGGAGTGTCTAGTGTTCTCAATTATTGGTTTTTGTTCCTTTAATAAGCCTTATGATGTCTTTCGATCATGGTTCGCATCAAAATGTTATTTTTTGAACCCTCCATTCTTAGCGGTTGAACATGTTGGACGGCTCCAACCTCCTATCCAACCCTCCCCAATTCACTTAACCCTACCCTTTCCTACCCATCCCTACTCATCCCTACCCAACCCTACCCAACCCTACCCAGCCCTACCCAACCCTATCCAACCCTACCCAAGCCTACCCATGTCTACCCATCCCTACCCATCCCTACCCATCCCTACCCATCCCTACCCATCCCTACCCATCCCTACCCATCCTTCTCTATCCCACCCTATTCCTTCCTTATCCCTCCCTATCCCTTCCTTATCCCTCCCTATCCCTCCTTATCCCTCCCTATTCCTCCCTATCCCTACCCATCCCTACCCATCCCTACCCATCCCTACCCACCCCTACCCATCCCAACCCATCCCTACCCATCCCTACCCATCCCTATCCATCCCTACCCATCCCTACCCATCCCTTCCTATCCCTACCAAACCCATATCCAACAAACAAAGATAACTCCAACTTAATTTCATTTAATCATACCTTAAAATTCTCTTCCAATCGAATTCTCTAAAACTTTTGCCTTCAAAGGTCTGCTGTACCATACTTCCAACTAGACAAAAAAAAAAGAAGGAATGAGAAAAAACAACAGAAAATTTATATCCGAACATTATTAAATTGTGTTTCATGCTACACAAAATGAAAATTGATGGTCATTCTCATTTTTTTAAAGGAAGATAAATTTGATAAATTAAGTTACACACCTGGCCACAATACGCTGTATGCTATCATTCCACGTACAATTCTATGCTTCTTGAGGAACTTAGACACGACCTGAAGGATCTCATTTGCTCTCCGACGGTCGACTTTAACTTGAATCAGTGCACCCATGCTTCTTCTTTTTTGTTCTTACAGCGATGATGACGATAGATACTTTTATTTTTAAGATGTTGTAGAGATGTTCTCAAGAGGGTGGATATTTGATGATGTCCTGAAGTTACATAAAATAAATTTGGTCGTTAAATAAACATTATCACTAGAAATTTTGAAATGCTTTTATTTTTGTTTTTATATAAAAAATTCAATGAGTTTTTATTTCTATGAATATTTGATTGAATTTGCTTTTATACAATATTGAATAGATTTTGTGAGGTTTTTCAAAAAGTAGACAAGATTTATTGCTTTTAAGACAATAGACATTTGAGCATCTAGCTTAAAAAGAACAGAAACTTCAACATTTTAGAGTAATTTTTTGATTTAATCCAATTCAGATGTACACATAAAGGCATAATCAGGACGAGGAATTGATCTGAGTAGCCAATAAGGGTGTGGAATGGATCAGAATGTGATTTTAGATATTATACACTACAGGTTGGACAGTGGTGTCAAACCTTTTTTTTGTGTTAATGCACACTTCGTGGTCCAAAACCGCACACAACATACGGTTTGTGGGATATCTCAATTGTTTTAAGTCACACTAGTGTACCGCGTCACACGGGTTGTCCATCACTGTACTAGCATCAATCCTTGGATACTAGGCATCAAGCAACTTACCCCTTTGAACATGATAAGAATCCATGTCTAGTGAGGATAGTCTGACAACGATATGTTTTTGAAAGAGGGGGAGGGGGGGGGGGGTGATAGGGGGTGTTGTGAGTTTCAATTCAAATATCCATTACTATTATGAAGTCGTAAGAATTTAAATCCCAACCAAATAAAATTCCAAGACATTTAGTTAAATCTCATTATTTTAATAATTTATTTCTCATTCCGTTGTTCAATGCCTCCCTTCAATTCATTTTTGATCTTTGAAATTCGAGCATTTCTGAATGTCACTAACGGAATCAGAAACATAAAAATAAATTCCTGAAGCAAGCAAAAAAATGTAATTTAAGACGAGATAAAAAAATTTGTGTGGGCAATAAATTTCAGATCCGATAATCCAATTTTTATTGCGATAAGAGTGACTAGTAAACAAGCACAGGAGGAGAATAAAATAAAATAATATTAAATAAATAAAAAGAATCTTCTCAATAGTAGAAGCAGAAAGGAATGTAAAAAGACATAACTGTCGTGTCGTTTATGCCTTAAAAAATGGCATTTGGCATTTCGTCAAAAGGGGTCGTTCACTTATGACGTCCAGAGGGGTGGTCAGCAAGAAAAGAGCTATAGAAATTCCTGCAAATCCGTTGTTTATTTTTGAAAAATGACCGTTAATTTCAGACGTCATTAATGAACGACCCCAAAGTCATTTCTGTTTTTTGTCATCGTCATGATGAATGAATCCGTAAAAATATTCGGAGAATGTCAATTATTGAAGACTGAAAATGAAAATAAATTATAAATCGGCAGTCATTCAAGGGCCTGTCGTCTTTTCATGTCAATTTTGAAAATAAAGGAATTGCACAAAAAAAAAATTCAATTGAATTTCGCAATTTTTTACTGTAATTCGCGTATTTTTAAGTTATGTTTTTTGATTCAATTCTTGTTCCTTTATGTGAGAATAATTAATTACTTCTTATGAAAAATGGGCACTAAGGAACATTAAGCGTATTACCCTTATGCAGATTGTGTGAAGCTTGGTATTAATTGACACTTTGAAGACCAAGGGTCGGCTCCATAGACAACTAGAAGCTTAAATTCGATACCCTACAATATGAGGCCTTTAGCTCCTTGTGGCAAATGAGATTTAAGTTCTAGGAATTTCTTACTAAACCATAACAACCAAATGACCATAAATCAATTCAAAATACCCCCAAGGGCACCAAACCTTAATGATGCTAAATATCATGAGACTCAATAAAATGATTAATGCTGACATTTCGAGAAAATATGACCACAAAATCCAACCAGACAGATTTAATCGCCGATAATGTGCATTCAATAGCAACAAACTGAAATTCTTTATAGCATTGTCTTGCTTGCTTGTTAATGCTTAAAAATTATTTTTCATTCAAGTTTCTGGAAACAAAAGAAAAAGATTAAAAACTGTTATTTCACCAAAAAAATTCCTTCTTCTGTTTTTTATTGGTGGATTTTGAAGTTGTAAGAGATAAGATTACAGAAATAGACAAAGAGACGAGAATTGTTGAGAAAAATGTATTAAAAATATTTGCAGAATTTGTTGTGAAAAGCTAGAAGACTTGGTAATTGAATTTTGTGGAGTTGGAGATGATTGTGTAATTTGTATTGAAGATTTTTATGTTTTTTGAGGTTAGGGATTTGTTGCTATTAAAGTGTTCGTATGATTTTGATTCATAGATTTTTAAAAATCATTCCACACATAATACTCAAATTTTATATAATTTTAGAATTTTACGTGCACATTTTTATTGTTCACTTACATAATGCGCACAAAAGTACTATTCTGTTATATAATGCGCACAACTCATTTTTTTACAAAATGTGTACGTTTCCGTTCTGTCATTACATTACGCACGCACTTATACTTTTCTATACATAATGCGCACATTAAACGAGTAAAATTTAAGCTTCCTCTGGAATAATGCTGCGTATTGGACAATTTTCATATAGAACAATTGATTTGTAGTGCAATAAATCTATTTTTTCCTTACATAGTGCGAAAAATTGATGATTTATTTGTCTATAACACACTGCTATTTAGTTTTTCTTTCAAATCATACTGTGGCAATGTCGAAAATGACCGTTATTTTTTATTTGAAAAAAAAATACCGTTAAAAATTTAAATTCTAAAAAACCGTTAAAATACTAATGCTAAAATAAACTTTGGAAATCTAAAGTAAAATCACGAATTAGACATGTTTTAACAATTTTGCATATTTTTAAAATTTTATTTGATTCATTTTGTTATAACAGAAAATCTAAGAGAATTTTGATGCGAATTTTCGCTTCTTATGGACAAATCTTACTTCGTGTGATAATTTTAATCTTAAAGTTATAAATTTTTGAAGAAAATCATCAAATATGTTTTCAAATCCTTTAAAATATCAAAATTGATTAAATTATGACTGAAATTTTTATTTGTTTACTTTTATTTTTTGATTTTTTTCAACGGTCAAAAAAAATTTAAAATTTCGACTTTCCTTCGACATTTTTAAATCCTTCGACACTGAGTGTCGAAGGAATTCGACACTCAGGTTGCCACAGTATGTTTCAAATAATACGCCATAATATAGTTTTTTCTCACATAACACGCCACATTCCAAATTCATAAAATGCTCAAGTTTCACAAAATTGAAAGCTAGATCGCTCAAAATAAACAATTTTAGGAATTTAATGCTCAATTTTTTTGTCCCTTAACAAGCAAAAAATTAATTCATATAATTTAATCTTATTAAAGCGACCCGTAAAAATATTTCACATAATTTGACTTATAAAAGTTTGAGAATAAAAAAAGTGGAATTAACATTATGAATTCATACAATTTTATTTCATCCAATAAAATCACAAATCTACTTTCTTTATAATCCCATGCATACTTAAAACACTTTTTTTATTGGTAATCATTTCGGTATCAAGTTTAGCATTCTCAGAAATAACTTAATAGAGATCTCAAAATTGATAATCTTGTTGACTTTTATTGCAGCTGTAGGTGTCCTTGTCGGATTTCTATTACGAAAAATAAAATGATGTGAAAAGACCACAAAAAAGAAATTCTCGTAAAATTTTTGTGATTTTTGTCCGCAGAGCTGGGAACGTAAAGAAATTGATTTTTAAATGAAATTTCTTGCTAATCTTTTAAGTCTTTGGAGTAATAATGAAGTTGGTGAGTTGTCTTGAGAGCTGTGAATGTGGCGTATCTATATCATTTATCTGATGAACATGGAATTGAATCATGAGTGTAGCAATGGTAGAAGAGGTCAAAGAGAGTTTTAACTTGCTTCAATGGCTGGTTTCAAGGGCTACTCTTGACAACCTACTTGATAACCTACTTAACAACCTACTTGACATTCTACTTGACATTATACTTGATAACCCACTTGACACCTTACTTGACAACCTACTTGACAACCTACTTGATAGGTGCTTTAGATTTAAAAGAATCAATAACAATAAATGAAAATTAGTAAGCCACTCACAGGAAACACCCAAAGCAATAATCAATAAACTGATCGAAATTCATCCGCAATAATTTCAACACCTTCCACACATTAAATTACCCCATCATCCCATCCACAACGTAATTTTTATTTTCCATTTCCGCAAGAAACTTTTTCTTTTTCATATTCTACAAAAAAAGCATTTAAATTGAGAGTCTCGAGAGTGTGAGAATGGAAATAAGGAAGGAGGATGAGATTTTTTAATCCCGTTTTCGTGGCAATTTGAACATTTTTAACAATTTTACGTATTCAGCATAAATACCATCCAATATAATATACACGTTTATGCTACTCACTTTATATACACATAACATAAATACGATTCTTTAATGAACAGTTTTGCATAATTCCCTTACCCGGGCTTTTATCATAAATTTTCAACAATTTCATTCCTTCCATTCTCACTTTCCGTTTTTTTATTATACACGTATCTTTAAACCACCGCACTGCTGTTGTTGTAGACATTTATGTGCTTGAACGGTGAATACTCTCGATGGCAATGAAGAAAGAAATAAAGAGACGAGAGATGAGCAGCAGCAGCAACAACGACTACAATATTGTGGATGGAAAATTCTGTTCATAACACACATTTCTCATTTATTAGGTTCCTTCTTTCCTTTTATTTTCTCTTTCCGCTTACTTTCGAGCTGAGTTATGTGATTGAACTGTGGAATTTTAGATTCACTTTGGATTAGTTTGGCTATTATGGTTTGATGTCAATCTTAATTCTCAATTCTTAGACTCGATTTGGAATCAACTTGATTTATCTTCACTCAATTTGACTTTATTCAATTCTACTCGACTCTACTT